TTTTCTTATTTAGGGACTAAATTGAATATATTAAACCATTAGAGGACCAAATCCACAAAAACTAAAAATTTAGCTTCTTGCTACCAGACTCTCTTTTAAGCTTTTAAGATTCACCACCCTTTTACTTTCAATCCTCAATCCTCCATCTCTCTCACTATCGCTCCATGCTATCAAAAAGAGTCCAGAAGTTGTGTTCTGGTTCATTAGGTTCTATCACTACAGGGCTCAATCATGCTCAAAAAACGAGTTTGAACCTGGCTCAGAAGGAAGGCTAGCTATATGCTTAACACATGCAAGTCGAACGCTATCTTATCAGAAAGATTTGAGATTTAGTACCTCAGTCGGAGTTACCTTTTCTCCCACGTTTTCAACAAGCAACAAAAGTTTTCTAGAGTTCTATTTTTAAACTCTCTTTCCGAGCGAGCAAGGGAGCGCGGCCGTCAAAGAACCAAAGAAAAATTTCATTAACAACTAAAATGTTATGAAAATAAAATGTAGAGACTAAAATGAATTGTAGAAAAAATTTCAGAAATCAAAATGAATTCTTGCAAAACTTTATCCATTTTTTTCTTGTTACCAAACACATGACAAAAACATAAACTTGTTCAGTTCAGTCTTGGCAAACTCTTTGAAAGTTTACAAACATCCAAACAAAGAAAGGTACAAGTTAAATATATATATATATATATATATATATATTAAGAACTACAAATATCTAAACTAATTCTTTATTGAGGTTATTAACTGTCCAAAACTTCCAGCTAATTGAATACTAAATGGACACCACACTTCCTTACAGTCTTTTCGTTGGAACCTACTTTGACAGACACTTCCAATTCCTCTCCGACTTCAATTGCACATGGAAGCTGGCTAAATGGTATATAGATCATCCAAGAATGGTCCGCATGATCTGAAAACGCAGGAAAATATGATGGAGTGTAAAACAATTCAGTTCCATTGCTCTTTTTTCTGATAGTTGCTGAAGAAAAGGACGGTTCTTCTCCAAAGAAATCATATTCAGGTGCTGCATAAACTGCCCAAACTATCAGTCCTTGGATTCCACCGCTGGAAATTGCTGGCAGATGAAATGATATGGAAAATCCATGTCCACGGTGGGTGAACCAATTAGGCACCTCGGTGCCAGGAAAGATGATGTCTGGAAGTTTCCCCTTAGAAAATACCTTTTCCAAGAAAAAGGAAAATTTTAAAATTTAACACATGCCTGTGTTCGTGCGTGTATGTATGTGCGAGAGAGGGGGAGAGAGAGAGAGAGTGAACCTGAAGAAGAATCTTCATGAAGTTATTTGACAAATTTTTGCAGTTTGCCATGTAGATGACTGGTTTGTTTTCCACATTGTCCAAGCCTTCTATCTCAACTAGTTCGTTGCAGCCACTGAGCAATAAATCTGGCACTGTTATTGACCGAATGGAAAGTTTTACCATTGATGTGCAATCAAATGCCACCATCATCTTTAAACTTGAAGGAAGATCTAAGATGGATTGAAGATTCGTACAGTCACACAAGTTCAACCTCTCTAGCTTAGGAAGGCCGCCAATGCCACCAGGCAGATTAATTAATTTATTTCCAGCCAAATTTAAATCTTGCAGCGATGATAAAGTCCGAAGATTGATGGGTTTATCAACGTCAGACAAATTTCGGTTGCTAAGATCTAGTCTTATCAATGACCTAAAACCAACAGAGGCTGGCAAGAAAACTGGGAACTTAATAACCATAGAATGACGCTTCACTTTCTTAGAGCAGAACACTAATCGTGTGCTTGGTAAGGCGCACGATAAAATTTTGAGGTTCTCCAACTTATCCAAATGCTTTGGCAAATTCCTAAGACTTGAGCACTGATAAATGTTCAGTTCTTCTAGAGATTTTAGGCAACAAATGCTCTCAGGAAGATTCTCCACGGTGGAACACCCCTTCAAATTGAGGAGAACAAGTCTCTTCAAATGTCCAATAGAATGATGAACCTCTTCTAAACTTGTGCAACCTTCAAGTATTAGGCTTTCCAGACTAGATAGCCCAGTGAAGTTTGGTGTTTTAACAAGGTACTCAGAATGGCTGAGGTTGAAAATTTTCAGCTTGTTCAAAAACTGTCAGAACAGGGGAAAGCAGGGAGACGTAAGCATGAAAAACAGAAGGCAACAAACAGAAGTGCAACAATAGAACAAAACATTTTATTGCATATTTCATACCGTAATCTCCTTCCAGGCTTCTTTGATGTGGCTGTATTGCATGTCAAGAACAACTAGGTTGTCTAGCTCAAAATCAGGTGGTAAAGATTGCAGAGGGAATTTATGCCAACAAAGCCATGTCAACTTTTTGGACAGTTGTTTATATTTTCCAGTGAGACTTGCTCCATTGCATTGGAGCAACTGTAAACAATTCATCTTTGCAAATGATTTCGTTCTTAAAGCCACCTTTTTTTATTCTTCAACATCCAATACGAGACCCTCGACCAGTTCTGTTCCCTATAAAAAGCAAAATTTGTTAGAAATTCTAGTTTGTCGTTTTGCAAGAGAAAAGAAGCATGCAACTTGTGTTGCTTTCTCAAAACCTACAGGTTATATTTCGTTAGCAACACTTCTAGCCTCACCACTCAAAGGAAAAGATGCATAAGCGGTCATCATTGTTGCCATCCAATGCAGAAGGTGCTGGGCAAAACTTATTCGCATCGTCACAAACATGGTGGTCAATATCTCTAAAGTTCATGAAACTATATACTAGTATGAGACAATTTGATATGACATAGAACTGGAAACGTCTTAGCTGGCCATCATGTTGTTATAATCTTGTTCTATATCACAAGTTACATTTCTATTTATCCAAAAAGTGATAGCAATAATCTTGTTCTGTATCATATGTTGAGAGTAAAATGAACAATGCACAAATGAAACTAAAATTTGCATTAAAAAAAAACATATCATGTATCTATGTCAGCATGTATAAGTATGGGTGAAACATCTGTAAATATATTCAAGTAAATAATTAGCTTTGCATAAGGCACTTAGCCCTTACCGTTTTCCTTTTGAGCACATCTAAGACCTCCTCCTCGGACCAAAGTCTGCTGCGTTCACCAGGACGGTTCGGTGACGCTCGACGAATTATCTCCCTCCCCATGTCTCGTAAAAGATCATGCATCTTTAGTTCATTTTGGTTGTTAATTTTAACAAGAGACCTTTCAATGAGAATGTCAAGATTGACTTCTGGATAGAATTCGCGACCATCTAGTATTTTTGCTGCATATTCTTTATCCATACCAATAAAGAAACACGCAATATCAAGGAACATATTCTTCAAAGTGTCATCATCCAGTGAATCGTAACTTGTTTCAAGGTAGCTCTGAATTTTACCATCGGGAATCTTTTTTAATTTGTCTATAGCAGTTCTCCATACAGAAATCTTTCTTCCGATAAAAAAAAAACCCAAAATTTCAAGAGCTAGTGGAAGACCACCAGCATAATTAACTACCCTTTCTGAAAGCTCAAAATAGTCTTCTGTTGGATGGCCCCCCTTAAATGCATGCCAATTGAAAAGTTGGAGGGAATCTGCATGACTTAGTCTTTTGGCCTGATATTTTTTATCCACTCCAAGTTGAGTTAGCAAATGCTCATCCCTGGTTGTAATGATTATTCTACTTCCAGGGCCAAACCAATTTCGCTCGCCTACCAGTGCCTTTACTTGTTCCAATTGATTCAAATCATCAAGAACAATAAGTACTCGTTGGTGACAATCTGTTTTTGAGGAAATAAATTCCATCACTAAGACCACCAAACCGTGATTTTTTGTTCAGGGTACCATAAATAAGTTGTTCTTGCAGTAGTTCCAAGCCATTAAGTCGTGTTGCAGTATCTTTGATATTCAAAAGAAAACGACTTTCTTGAAATCTACGACAAAGTTGGTTAAATAAAGCGCTTGCCAGGGCTGTCTTACCTATTCCTGGCATCCCATAGATGCCTAAAATGCGAACGTCATCCGAACCAACATCTAGGGAGGCAATGATATCTTCGACTTGGGAAACGATGCCTACTGGATATGTAGCAACTTCTAAGTATTTGTGATTCAATTTTCTTGAAACAATGTCAACAATCTTTTTGATAAATGTTGATTCATGCCTGTTCACAGTAAAAGAAAGCCAAACCAATGAAAAGATAAGCTTCCCCGAAGAAAATTGTCCTACAAATTTTTTTTAACATAAACCAAAACTAGTGCTGATTGTATCAAGTTATATATATATATATATATATATATATATATATATATATATATATATCATTTCAAACTATTGAAAAAAAAAACCCCTAAAAGGATCTGACCATTCTTGAATTTTAAGTCATTTGACATTGAGTTTCTAAACTTTTATTGATTTTGAGAATCCTCAACTTAATTTTTTGAGATTTAACCTATTTAATAATTTTCAGCTATTTAAAAAAAAATGAATTATTGATATTTTGAGCTGAAATTTTGTATCAACATTAAAAAAAAAAATCAATTCATTTTGTAAAAAATTTCAAGAATTTTTCAAAATTGAAAACAATATTTATTTATTTTGTTAACATTAAAAATAGAAAAAATAGAAAATAATCCCAAAATATCTTAATTTTTTTAGGAGCCTTACCTAAATTTTGATTGAATGATTTTCAATTCTTGGTATTTTGAGCTGAAATTTTACACTCACATTGAAAAAAAATCAATTCATTTTGTAAAAAATTTCTAGAATTTTGTAAAATTGAAAACTATATTTGTCTATTTTCTGAACATTAAAAATATAGAAAATTGAAAAAAAAAATCTCGAAAAAATCTCAAATGTTTTAAGTAACCCTACCTAAATTTCACTGAATGATTTTCATTGGGAAAGTATTTATGTGATTGTTATTTTTTTATCTAAATGATAAAAAATTAAAAAATGGGCTAAATCTAAAAAATGAAAAGTCAAAAAATATTCAAAACCAATAAAAATGATTAAAAAAAAAACTGAATGTAAAATGACTTAAAATTTAAGTTCAAGAGTCTTAGATTTCAGCATAGCAACTAGCAAGCTAGGAGTGGACAACAACAAATGTAATGAAAGGCACATAAGAATGAGACGAAAGAAATACCCATTTGCCATAGAGTTGAGCTCGTAGCCAGCTAGATTTGCGGCCTCCACGAGAGCTCCTTTCCACTTATTGACCTTCTCTATTTCATCCTTGAATCGTTCTTCATGTCTGCCAAAAGCTTCAGCGAAGCCCGCTTCCTGTTTTCGAACATGAGATGGATCAACATCGTAGAATACAGGGAGAACAATCTGATCAGTTTTTCTTTTGCATTCAAGAATCTTGACAAGTTCCTCGAGACACCATGTAGAGGAAGCATAGCCTTCAGAGAAGACTACTATAGAAATTTGGGATTCTTGAATTGCTTTGAGGATTTGTGAGGAAATATCTTCTCCTCTCGGAAGTTCATCATTGTCTCGGAAAGTGCGGATTCCATTGTCAACTAGAGCAGAGTAAAGATGATCTGTAAAATTCTTGCGAGTATCTTCCTCTCTAAAACTTAGAAACACATCATAGGCCCATCCAGGTCTAGAGGGAGAGGAAGGAGGCTCAAAATAGTCCTGCATACTACTAGCAATAGAGAAAGTGTTATTTCAGCAATGTATGCTGCAAATGGGAATTAAGGAAGCTTGCTAGTCCAATAAAGAGAGGAGTAATTTCTGCTTTTTTAAGGTTAAAAAGGCCGGCCACCGCTCAGAAAAAAAAAAAAAAAAAAAAGAACAACAACAGAAAGAAAGAGTCCAAACGTGTAACAGCTTGCTTCGCGTGATGGACTGCTAAGTTTAAAAAAGAAAAAAGAAAAAAGAAAAAAAACATTTTATTTATAATGATAATGTCTTTTTTTAAATCCTGATTTGACTGTTATTAGATTCTATATAATATATTAATTGTGGAACTTTTCTTAGTTGTAGAGTAATTATAGCCTAATCAAAATTCATGTGCACACGTGAAAGGAATACCTCGAAATGACCTTTTGCAGTTCAATGACAATTTTTTCCTTTCGTTTTAACACATAAGCTTATCAAATGAAATTAATTAACAAACGAAATTATAGATTTCAAAAAAATTAATATTTAATAACTAATAATTATTAATTAGGCCTTTTAGTTTTAAAAAATAAATTAATTAATCTTTTTATTTTAAAATCAATTATTTAGTTTTTTATTTGGTACTGAGCAGCCAAGGATTTGAGAACAAGTTGAAACAATTTCTTCCTTTCCATATTTCTCTTACTAATTACTAAATTTAAAAAAGCTAAATAATTGAAAGGTGTCGGTGGATATGCTTTTGCAAACAGTACTCAATGGCATAAAAAAAAAAAAATGGAAAAGGTAATGACACTTTGACAGCTCTGCTTTTTCTTCTATATATGTCGGTATCTTCAAGATCAAGAGTAAATTGTAAATTAATCGTTCTAGTTTTAGAAAATGAATGAATGAATTTTTTATTTTAAAAATTGATTATTTAGTTTTTATATTTTAAAATTTTATTATTTCACTTTTTTCAAGAATATATATTTTTTAGTAAAGAAATGAAAGAATTGACCAAAAAAATGATATTTTATAAAATAAATTTATATTAAATTAAGTATGGTCAACATTAATAAAGAAATAATTAATTCATTAAATAAATAGAAAGACTAATTTATCTCTTTACATATTAAAAAAATTACTATAAATATTTTATTTTATATTTAAAACTTGTTTATTATCATAAAGATTTAGATAAAGTGATTTGAAGGCGAGTATGATGAAAGTTTACTAATGTTCTTTCAAACTCTCGTTTAGACCGAAACTCATCCTATATATTGGAAATGGTGGAATGACATTCTCCTACCTCCTAATGTATAAGGCTAGAGGTTGGATTACCTCATTGGTAATTTAGGCGATCTAGAGGCTTGAAAAATCTTTAGGACTAGTTAAGTTTTGCCCAACCCTAGAAAAGCTAGATCTTGTCTATTAGGGTCGACCCAATTAAAACACGAATCATTATCAAATGATGTCGATACCGACCCTAGGTATCCTAAGGGTATTTTTATAATTTTCAGTGAAGGTTATCCTTTGTATTAAATCATGACCGAAAAAGTCGAAATAAGGTTGAGGATTTTAGATCGATTTGAGCGAGCCTAAAATGGTGAAGAAGATTGTCTACCCTTGAATTTCGTATCGAGACTGCGAAAAAAAAAAAGTTTCACCCTTCGTATGCTTATAATAAGAGTGGTTTCATCATTTCAAAATCAAGTCACGACCGAAATTAGGGGCATACATATCTCCCTAATCGCCCAAATATTTGTGAGGTAATTTTACCCTCGGCGAGTACTAGCTTGGTCTAACCAATCATCGACGGGATTCCGGCATGATTTAACAAGCAACAAAATAAAAAAAAAGGTATCCAACCCATTTCAAAATCATGCATTTGCATTAAGTATTTATTTGTATATATTTCTTTTGTGATTTCCAAGTGAAGAAAACATAGGCCACTCCACTCAATCCCCTCCACGCACTCAACTTCGGGCTCGTCAAATGGAGAATGAGGAAAGAACCCGAAAAGAGTCAATTAGCCAACAAGAGTTTGACTCGCTAAAAGAGAGTGTGGCTCGGATGACATCCCTATTAGAGCAAGCATTAAGAGGGGAGGTAGCTTTAATCAAAGACAACCCGAAGTACCTCATGTTGTTTCATTACCCAATCGGTTAGGGAATTCTAATCAAGCAACTTTTCAAGCCGATAACTCACATCCCGCTAAGGTATTTACTTATCCCATGGACCTACGAGTCTCGAAAATGCCACATATGCCCCCGATCGATCCTATGAAGAGGAAGCTCATGGTCCTAGGGTAGTTAAAAGCCCAAGTATGGACATACTCATGGCACTAGAAGAATGCCTAAGAGTAATAGAGGAGGAGGATGCCTACGATCCAATTAGGGCCTCCGAAATGTGTTTGGTGCCCGATATAGTGATTTCAAGAAAGTTCAAGGTGCCGGATTTTCTCAAGTACACTGGAACCCGGTGTCCCATGACTCACTGGGGATTTATCGTAGTAAGATAGCAAAAGTGATTCACGATAAAAAGCTCGTTAATCTATTTCTTTCATGAGAGTCTAGGAGGTTCAGCTTTGAACCGGTACATGAGGCTAGAGGGATCGAAGATTCGAAGGTGGAAGGATCTAGCCGATGCTTTTCTCAAACATTATAAGTTCAACATGGAGGTAGCACCGAATAAATCACATCTCTAAGGAATGGAGAAAGAGCCAAGAGAAACGGTTAAAGAATATGCACAAAGGTGGCGTGAGGTGGCCGCTCGGATTCATCCACCGTTGCCCAAATTTGAATTGATCTCGATTTTCTCAAATATATTCAAAACATCATACTTTGAATATCTAATTGGGAATGCCTCAACCAACTTTACCGATATTGTTATTATAGCCGAAAGGGTAGAGCGAGCAATTAAAGCTAGAAAGATTTCGATAGCTGCGAAAAGAAAAGAGGCAAGTGGTAACAAGAGAACGGATGAGGAGATGCATCGGAGTTGAGACCGGATCTTATCCATCCAAAAATCGAGAGAGTAACCAAAGAAAGCATAAAAACCATGATAGCTACAACCAAAGACCTTCATTCACCCAATATACCCCTAGCCTAACAAACACCATAAACCAAACATACCCATTCAATCAGCCCAAATTCATCCTATATACCTCATTAAACTTACCGAGTAAATCAATTCTTTCAAGCTACTACACATTTTTAAAATCCACCAACTCACAACCGAGACTACAAAAAAGAACTCGAGCAACTACCACCCTTACTCGTCTCATTGGGTAAGGTGTTTGAACATCTAGTGAGTACCGGACTCGATTACCCCAATTCCTACCAAACCAAAGCTCCCTCCTTATCCCGTATGGTACTAACAAAATTAACATCGCGAATATCATTCGATGCTACTCGGACATAATATCGATAGTTGTCCCGCTTTCAAGAAGAGGCTCTTCGCTTTGATTAAGAAAGGATGGATCAACCTTGATAGTTTTTCAAATACTCGTGATGTGAGCATGGATCAACCGCCAAGCCATACGCTTACCAATGTCTAGAATGAAGAGATGGTGTGAGCCCGAAAGATATGGTGATGATGCATGCTCATCGATATGTAAATATTATCTTTTAATTTTGTCGGATTTTGAAAATTATTTTTTGAATGTTTTGATTATGCATGAGTTAAGACGTATATTTAAATAAAAGAATGCTTAAGTTTTTTTTTGTAATTTGATATTATCCGATTTGAAATCAAAAGATGTTCATTTGAAAGTATTCCTTGGCATTAGCATCTTTCTCCATTAAGGAAGCATAATGGCAAATTCATTCAAAGAAATTTTTACAAAAAAAAAAAGATCAAATTACAAAATGTGACGAGATATATGCTAGAGATAATTTCTTCAAAGGTATATCCTCCTAATGACTCTTCCGAGCGTAAAGTAATAAGTGAAATCCTCCATTTTGTTAAGAAAAAAATCCTTTATCCTTTCTAACACTTAACCTTTGAAGGAAAAGTGTTACCGAAGAAAACATAATGAAGCCCAAAGGAAAAGACTCAATGATTGGTGCCTCAAATAGTGATGAACAATATATCTTCTACTCATGAGAGCATTCATCATTTTTCTCTAAATTAATCATCGTTGTTCAAAAGATATTAAGTGTGTAACGACATAGGTGAATCAGTCTTTAAGATTAGGAAAGATCATATTTCATATGTCTCACATGAATTTTATCCTTCATAGCTCGATGATTTTCTTCATAATAACCCGAACCGGGATCACCCCTTACACTAGGGACAAAGTGTATAGTCCATGAATGGTCGATGAAACTCTCAAAAACTTCTATCAAAAGAATCCCATCAATAATCTTAAGAGGAAAAAGAAAAAGAGGGGAGACAAAAAAAAGAGAAAAACTTCCCGAATATAAAAATTATAAGTCAAGATGGGAGTCAAAATTCAACAAACGAGACAAAGAGAGTCGAGGCTATAAAATAAAGTCAACGACCAAAATGACAAAATCTAAGTGGAAGCTTAGAAAAATTTCTTAAGGACATAGTAGCCTAACTAACGGCTAAAGTGATAAAGTCCAAACGACGTGACCTAAAGAGATTTTCATGGACAACAAAGTGATTCTATGTCAAAAAATCTTCAAACATGTTTTGAGCCTTTATATTCTTCTTTAATAAACCCAATGTCATAGCTCGCATTACATGCTTTTACAAGTCCTTTCGATCGGAGAAAATTTACCTAAGTTGTTGGATTCTAATCTCAAAAAAAAAAATGATGATTAAGGAAAAGAAAATATGATGAGTTAGTATGTTGTTGGTCGTTGAATCATGAGTCTTTATCAACAAACCTTAGAGGAAAAATAAACAGAATCAAGATATTCTAAGGCAAAATTATCTTTCAAAACCACTTATTTTTCCAAATACTTTCTCGCTCAAAACTTTTTCATTTACCCAAAATGAACTTATCTTGGATTACTTACCTTTAAATTCCTCAAATGTCAATTTTTATGCAAACTTTGCATGAACCAAAC